TATTATGATGTATGTGTTGGGGTAGTAAGGGTGTCACATGGACGACTGGCTCGGCATCCTGAGCCACCTGCTCGGCAGCCCGAGCAGCCTTTTCGGAGACCACTCCAGGAGCTCCCTCAGGCGGCAGACTCCTGGTAAGGTCCACTGCATTTGCGTCAGCAGCCTTGGAGGTCACCTCCTCGGCCTCTCGAGGCGCAGAGGTCCCCCCGACCTCTTTCTCTCCCCTCTTTCTTTTCCTGTTCGTCTTCAGGGGGGCCACGTCCTCCTCTTGAGGCTCTGGGACCTCAATCTCGGCAACGTTGTAGTGATGCTTCAACTCACGCCACTTGTTCCTGCCCATTATGCCTGCGAACACAAGAAATCAGACACATTAGCAAAAGAAGCCTTTACAAACCCTAACAATCCAAAAAAAGACGAGACACTCACTCTCTAAGCCCCTCTCCTTGTACGTCGAGTTCGCAAGCGACAAGACGAGCTTGCAATCCAACGGGCAAGGAAGCGTACGCGAAGAGTCACGGCTCCCCTCCGAGCTCGGTATTAACTCTTCGACCCACGGTCTTTAGACCTCTTGTATCACAGCGCAGGACGACCTCAGATACGCACCTCGGACATGCGCTGGACGACCTCGGGCTGGACGAGGTCCGCTACCTAAATAAGTCATAACTGATCTCAGGCCCAAGGCCCAACAAAACCCTAATCCACACAAAGGTACGTGCAATACTTATACGAGACACATACTCACATAAACCCTAACTTTAGCATCGAAGTGTCTTTTGCAGGTACCACCCCCATCTTGGAGCAACAAGCGTACCAGTGAAGGAGACTCCCCGATCTTACCCAGCAGATCGTCCCTCCCACCGATCTCCGGTAAGAACAGTAAGAATTTTATTTTGTTTCTTGCAAATTTTCTTGCAAAAGTAAAATTCACAAATAATGTTTACTAAATGCTAGAAAATTTTCACAGGTAACTTTTCCTGCGGATTTTCCTCCCAATTTTAATCCGCAAGAAAAATTTAAAAAAAAATTTTAATTTATAAGTTTAGTATTTTAAAAAAAAACTTCAAGTCCCACATCGATTGAAAATAAAACAATTAAAAAATATATAAGTTGGAGCAACACTTACCTTACAAGTTAATTTGTATGGTTGAGTGTTAAGCTTATAATTTACAATTTTAGAGTTTAAAAGATTATGTGTCACATTTTGGAGGCCTGGAAACAAATGTTTCGGATGAATTCATTGTGAGCATTTGAAAGTTGAAGAATTATTGATAAAATTTGTAACAATTTCTTTTTCGCAAGGAAACTTTTTTTTTTTTTTTGCAGGAAACGTTCTTGCGAATTTTACAATTGCCAAAAACATATTATTCACGAAGGTATTTCCTCCTGTGACCTACTACAAGAGCTATGATAAGAAGAGCCCGAGACGGATGGTGATAGACTATGGCCAAGGCCAAGGAATCCAAGAGGTGATATACTGAAAGAACCAAGAGGAATGGGATGATCTTAAAGACCTTGTTCATATATTTTGTAAATAGTCTCTTGTATAGGTTATTTTGCCTTTGTATTTGTGAGGCACTTTACTTGCTTTTTCCTAGTGTTTGTATATTGTTTTTAAGGTAGGTTACTTGGAGAGTTTAACTCCATTTAACCTCCCTAGTTGATACTTTCATTTTGTATTTTTTCAGTAGGGAAAAGGGGGTGACATTTAGCAATGCTTGAGGGTGTGCTTAGAAATTGGGCCTGAGTTGGGCCTAGGCAAAATTTTACATATTGGACTCATTTTGCTCCTAATTTTTCATAGATTTGATTTAGCTAGGT